TCATGAGGTCAGGAGATCGAGACCATCCTGGCTAACATGGTGAAATCCCGTCTCTACTAAAAATGCAAAAAATTAGCCGGGCGTGGTGGCGGGCGCCTGTGGTCCCAGCTACTCCGGAGGCTAAGAATGGAGTGAACCCTGGAGGCGGAGCTTGCAGTGAGCCAAGATGGTGCCACTGCACTCCAACCTGGAGGACAGAGCAAGACTCCATCTCAAAATAAATATAAATAAATAAATAAATAAATAAATAACTCTCCGAATTTCAACATCTATTTCCTTTTGAATCTATCTTATTTTTGTGTCTGAGAAATACTTTTGGATTTGAAGATAATTTAAAAACAATAACTATCTCTTTTAGGTATTATTGCTTATTTCTACTTAAGTGTTATGTGTCAAAAAAACAAAAACAAAAACAAAAAAAAACACAAAATTTATGGCCGGGCGCGGTGGCTCAAGCCTGTAATCCCAGTACTTTGGGAGGCCGAGACGGGCGGATCACGAGGTCAGGAGATCGAGACCATCCTGGCTAACCCGGTGAAACCCCCATCTCTATTAAAAAATACAAAAAACTAGCCGGGTGAGGAGGCGGGCGCCTGTAGTACCAGCTACTCGGGAGGCTGAAGCAGGAGAATGCCGTGAACCCGGGAGGCGGAGCTTGCAGTGAGCTGAGATCCGGCCACTGCACTCCAGCCTGGGCGACAGAGCGAGACTCCGTCTCAAAAACAAAAACCAACCAAACAAAAAAAACACACAAAATTTACAATAAAACATTTCTAGGCCTTTCGGGGTGGCTTATGCCTGTAATCTCATCACTTTCAGAGGCTGAGGCAGGCAGATCACAAGGTGGTTAAATTGAGACCATCCTGGCCACCATGGGGAAACATGTTCTCTACTATAATACAAAAAAAGAGCCAGGTATGGTGGCACGCACCTGTAATGGCAGTTACTGAGGAGGCTTAGGCAGGGGAATCACTTAAACCCGGAAGGCGGAGGTTGCAGCCAGCCGAGATTGTGTCACTGCACCCCAGCCTGAGAGATAGAGTGAGAAGTACATATTTCTAAATATTGTTTGTTCATATTAATTATATTGACATTATTATGCAACGTATCACTAGAATGTTTTTATCTCGCAAAGCTAAATCTCACTACACATGAAACAACTACCAATTCTTCCCATTTCATGGCACATTTCAAACACTACATTGTTTTCTGTTTCAAAGAGCATAACTGTTTTTTTTTTTTTTTGAGACGCAGTCTCGCTCTTTCGCCCAGGCCGGACTGCAGTGGCGCAATCTCGGCTCACTGCAAGCTCCGCCTCCCGGATTCACGCCATTCTCCTGCCTCAGCCTCCCGAGTGGCTGGTACTACAGACGCCCGCCACCGTGCCCGGCTAATTTTTTATATTTTTAGTAGTGACGGGGTTTCACCCTGTTAGCCAGGATGGTCTCGATCTCCTGACCTCGTGATCCGCCCGCCTCCGACTCCCAAAGTGCTGGGATTACAGGCGTGAGCCACCGCGCCCAGCTTGCTTTATACATCTTATACAATATCTGTCTGTTGTGGCTGGTTCATTTTATTTTGCATAATGTCATCAATATTTATCTTAGTGGTTGTTAGATAATGTGTTGTATCATTTCTAAATATTTGTAAATTTATTATTTGTATTATTGTTTTATACTCTATTTTTGTCATAGAAAGGAATCTATTAATTTTCAGCTTTAAAAAATGAGTTAAGACTTTGTTCTTGGCCTAACAGGTGGTCCATAAAGAAGAAAGTTGTAGAGCTATTGAGAAGGCTGTGTATCCTGATGTTTTTGAGGAGTGTTGTGTATACCTTCATTAGAAATAATTGTTTTTTACTGCCTTCTAGTCCTCTGTTCCCTTACTAATATTCTGTCTTGTTTTATTATTATAACAGAAAATGGGTTACTGAAACAGCCTATTTTTATTTTTTTATTTTTATTTTATTTATTTTTTTTATTTTTTTTGAGACGGAGTCTCGCTCTGTCGCCCAGGCTGGAGTGCAGTGGCGCAATCTCGGCTCACTGCAAGCTCCGCCTCCCGGGTTCACGCCATTCTCCTACCTCAGCCTCCCGAGTAGCTGGGACTACAGGCGCCCGCCACTGCGCCCGGCTAATTTTTTTTTTTTTTCTATTTTTTAGTAGAGACGGGGTTTCACCATGGTCTCGATCTCCTGACCTTGTGATCCACCCGCCTCGGCCTCCCAAAGTGCTGGGATTACAGGCGTGAGCCACCGCGCCCGGCCGAAACAGCCTATTATAATTTTATTTCTATGTGTTTATTCAGTTTTCTTAGTATTTGCTTTATATATTTGAAACCCTAATTTGAGACACACACACACACAAATACAAGCATGTATAAACAAATTTGTCATAGCTCCCAGTGAATGAATCTACATATTGTTTAACGTGTTTTTGTCTTTTTAAGTTTTGACTTAAAGTACATTTTATAAAATATGGGTTTTTGACTTAAGATGTAGCTTGTATATTACTATTGTGACCTCTTCTGCTCTCATTTGGTTAATATTTACATGAAATTTCTACTTCCATCTTGCCACTTTCAGTCTTTTTTTGTTATTAGATCTCAACTGAGTCTTGCAGAAAGGCAAGTTAAATCTTGATTTCACAAAATTTTTAATAAACCTTTTTATTGAATTTCTCTTGATTGGAAAGATAATCATATGTATAATTTTAAATAGTTTTCTGAAAGAAAAAAACTTACGAATGTTATTTTATTATTTGTTGTATTTGATTCTTGTATCTTTGTCTCTCATTTTCCTTTCTGTCTTTTATGTTTTTTTTTGTATTGCTTTCAGTTTTTAAAAATTTTTCTGTTGTATATCTATATAGATATTTTCTTAGTGGTACCTTCGGGGATTATATAAAACCTCTAAAAGATCCAACAATATATTTAAATGTGGTTAAAAATTAACTTAAGTTGCATACAAAAATTCTTCATCATTACATCTGCCTACATTGCTGCTCTGAAAATTCTCTTATTTGTGAATTTTGAAATTTTACTTATATATGTGTTTGTTATAAATATCTTTGTGTACATCCTAGTTTTTTTGTTTAGCTTTTTCATGTTTACATCATTTTTTCTTTTAAGAAATTTTTGTTACTTTTTGTAATTTTTATATCCAAAATTTTTTTTTTTGCTATTTTAATATTTCTTGTTGTTATCCTCATTTTTCTGACCTTCAGTAGTTTTCTGCGTTTCCATTTCACTTACTGAATATTATTATATTTTATTTATTTATTTTATCTGAGGTGGAGTCATTTTCTGTCGCACAGGCTGGAAGCAGTGGTGCAATCTCGGCTCGCTGCAACCTCCGCCTTCCAGGTTCAAGCGATTTTCCTGCTTCAGTCTCCTGAATAGCTGGGGTTACAGGTGCTTGCCACTATGACTGGCTAAGTTTTTGTATTTTTAGTTGAGACAGGGTTTCACCATGTTGGCTAGGCTGACCTTGAACTCCTGACCTCAAATGATTTACACACCTCGGGCTCCTAAATTGCTGGGATTACAGGCATAAGCCACTGTGCCCAGCCTATTTTATTTTATTTTTGAGACAGTTTTGCTCTGTTGCCCAGGCTGCAGTGCGGTGATACAATCTCCAGTCACTGCAACCATCCCCTCCCAGGTTCAAGCAATTCTTGTGTGTCAGCCTCCCAAGCAGCTGGGATTACAGGCTCATGCCACCATGCCCAGTAAATTTTTGTGTTTTGGGTAGATACAGGGTTTCACCATGTTCTCTAGGCTGGTCTCAAACTCCTGACCTCATGTGATTTTCCCACCTTGGCCTCTCAGTGTGTTGGGATTGCAGGAATGACCACCAACCCTGGCCTGTTCAATTTATTTAGAATTTTAAAAATTATTTTATATGCTGTTTATAGTTGCTTTTGAAATTTTTTTTTCATGGGGCCATGTTTCTCTAATATTTTGTGTACATTATAATCTTTGATTGAGATTTGGACATTCACAGAAAGCTACCTGTTCCAATCTTTATAATATAGTTTGTCCTGGCATAGTCTGAAATCAATTATCTTGCCTGCAGATTCTGGGAATTTCTCAAACATGTTCTTAGGATGTGTCTTGTCTAAATTTTGTGTTCATTGTTTAGTTAAATTGGCTTATTAATTTTTTTTAATAATTAGTAATCACTTGCTGCAGCCATTCCCTGTTTGGGGTACTACAGTTTCTCTGCTTCTGTAACATTTGTCTTTAGACTCAGTGGACTCAAACTGTCATTCCAACGTATATCACCACTTCTTTCAGCCTCTCACATCATGGGAGACATTAATCAGTGTCTAAAAAGCATGTGGAAGCCAGAAATAAAGATGTATGTGCCAATGTTTTCCTTTTATCTTTTCTTTTTTCTTATTGGCAATTAATATTTGTGTGTGTGTGTGTGTGTGTATGTGTGTATGTGTGTGAGACAGAGTGTCACTCTGTTCCCTATGCTGGAGTGCAGTGGCATGATCTTAGCTCACTACATTCTCTACTTCCACAGTTCAAGCAATTCTCCTGCCTAAGCCTCCCAAGTAGCTAGGATTACAGGTACCTGTTTCCATGTCTGGCTAATATTTTGTATTTTTAGTGGAGATGGGGTTTCACCATGTTGGTCAGGCTGGTCTCAATCTCCTGACCTCAGGTGATCCACCTGCCCTGGCCTCCCAAAGTGCTGGGATTAAAGGCATGAGCCATCACACCTGGCTGGAAATTTCTTTTCTTTTTCTTTTTTTCTTTTCTTTTTTTTTAATGAGACGGAGTCTTGCTCTGTTACCCAGGGTGGAGTGCAATGGTGTGATCTCAGCTCACTGCAATCTCTGCATCCTGGGCTCAAACAATTCTCTGCCTCAGCTTCCCAAGTGGCTGGCATTTGCCCACCACCATGCCTGGCTAATTTTGTTTGTAAATGTATCCCATATTTATCAGAATCTTGCAGTTGAAGTAATGTGTTTTTGTTGTTTCTTTCACTTATGTGTTTTCATTTTGCCCAAGACCATTGTCCAGAGCAGAGCCTACAAGATTCTTTCCAAATTGTGATACTGAGAAGATATGAAAAATGTGAATATGGCAATTTAGAGTTTAAAAAAGCCAGTGAAAGTGCGGATGAGTGTAAGATGCACAAAAGAGGTTATAATGGACTTAACCAATGTTTAATAACTACCCAGAGAAAAATATTTCAATGTGATAAATATGGGAAAGTCTTTCACCAATTTTCAAATTCAAACAGACATGAGATAGGACATACTGGAAAAAACCTTTCAAATGCGTAGAATGTGGCAAAGCTTTTAACCAGTTCTCAACCCTTACTATACATAAGAAAATTCATCCTAGTGAGAAACCCAACAAATGTGAAGAATGTGGCAAAGCCTTTAAGTACTCCTCTACTCTCACTGCACATAAGAGAATTTATACTGGAGAGAAGCCATACAAGTGTGATAAATGTGGCAAATCTTTTATTGCATCCTCAACCCTTAGTAAACATGAGATCATTCATACAGGAAAGAAACCCTACAAATGTGAAGAATGTGGCAAAGCCTTCAACTGATCCTCAATTTTTACTACACATAAGAAAATTCATACTGGAGACAAACCCTACAAATGTGAAGAATGTGGCAAAGGTTTTCACCTATCCTCACACCTTACTACACATAAGATACTATATACTGAAGAGAAACCCTATAGATGTAGAGAATGTGGCAAAGCTTTTAACCATTCCACAACCCTTTTTTCACATAAGAAAATTTGTTCTGGAGAGAAACCATACAAGTGTGATAAATGTGGCAAAATCTTTATTTCATCCTCAAACCTTAGTAGACATAAAATAATTCATACTGGAGAGAAACCCTACGAATGTGAAGAATGTGGCAAAGCCTTCAACCGGTCCTCACACCTTAGTAGACATAAGATAATTCACACTGGAGAGAAACTCTACAAGTGTGAAGAATGTGGTAAAACCTTTACCTGGTCCTTAAGCCTTAGTAAGCATAAGAAAACTCATATTGGAGAGAAACCCTACAAATGTGAAGAACGTGGCAAACCTTTTAACCGGTCCTCAGACCTTAATAAACATAAGAGAATTCATACTGGACAGAAAATCTACATAGTGAAGAATGTGGCAAAGCTTTTAGATGTTTCTCATACCTTAATAAGCATAAGATAATTCATACTGGAGAGAAACCCTATGAATGTGATGAATGTGGGAAAGCCTTTGACCACCCCTCTGCTCTTACTAAATACGAGAATTTATATGGAACATAAACCTTACAAGTACAAAGAATGTGACAAAGCTTTTTAAGAAAGTTTTCAATGTGTATTAAAACAATGAATTTATAAGTAATTAACTTCTAACTATAGAGGATTCTACTATACTGTAATTCAAGATTAAACTGTAAACACTTTAACATAAATATTTCTTGAATGTATGATTGGTTATGTAGATAGTTTCTTTTAGATTCATGTGACCAATGTAATAATTAGAGAAAACATTTGAAATGGGATAAAATCAATCAAAATCACATCTTTTCAATGGCTTGGTGTAATTGCCATGCGTTTGGAAATGGCCAGACGGCTAACAAGAAACAAAGACAAGATTTTGGCTTTGCTCTATCATTGTTTTTGACCTCTTGAAATCTGAAATCCTGGCTACAGTATTCAAAGGGAGTATTTTATAGGTGAATTCCTAGGGTTTCAAAGGCAATGAGGGAAGAATTTTGATAGGCAGGAAAATTCACACTATACATACACATTGCTTTTCTCTGATTTGCTTTAACACTGAAAAGGTGAAGATTGTAAATGTAGACTCAACTTAGAGTACATTAACAAAAGATTTGTTTTTCAAAAAACCGAATGTATAAAATAATAGGTAACAGATGCCATTAGCTGCTAAAAAACAGTATGACTAAATTCAGTAAGTATCTAGCCATGCAAGTAACAGTCTAATTAAATGAAGACCCTAATAGGTGCATGTGGAAAGCATTGCTGTGCAGTGTTTTCTCAGCATTTTCTTCTGCCTTTTTACAGAGATACCAATTTCCCCTGGGTGACTCAGGGTGCATACTGGGAACTGAGAATGCTGTGTTCAGAGTGATTACTGAAAACATGGTTAATACACTTCTTCCATACTATAATAAAATGTTAAAATCTAACTCTGCCTTAGAAAAGCTTTTAGTAAAAAATTATCTATAGTTTACTCAATTTGGGTTCATGGAAAATTTCAATATTCCAGATAGTTCAGATACTTAAATGTCAAGGAAATCCCATAAAACATATTTGAATAAGATACAGTCATCTTAGCTAAGAATTTTGTATTACCAGTAAATTTAGAAAAAAATAGAAAAATAGTACTTTAAGCCAAATAACTGTTTGACATGTGAGTCAAACCCAAACATGCTACTTCATGATCATTATTAAAGTAGCAATAGCACCACGTGCTTTCCTGGGACCTGCTGTACTGTTTTCCATTGACATAAAGTGAAGAAGGCATTGAAATGGCAAAGGAGGGTGATATAAATTGAATACTTACATAAAATAAAATTTTAAATATAAAATAGCATTTGATGTTATACAAGCATAGCTGAGACTATTAGTGTCAGGTTATATTTTTACTTATATTGACAAAATAACCATTAGCAATATTCTTATTCAGAATAATATTCCTTTTATGCTGTATATTTGCTAGCTTTTGATCAAATATTATGGGAGCTCAATAGAAATTAACAAAATGAATCTATTTTACCACCATTATTGATGCACATGCTCATTTTCCTAAAAACCCATCAGTGTTTTATAAAATATTTATACTTTTTTTCAGTTTATTGCTGAGAAGTGGTTTTCCTGCCAGAAAACTGCTATTCTCAGCTGTAACCATATTGACTAATAGTGAGTAGAAGGGAAGTGGATAAAAGGCAAATGTGTCTTCTCTGTAACTTTTTTCATCCATTGGCTGAAAAACAGGAAGATGCAGAAGATGAAAGAAAATATAATCCCTGAAAGATCATGAAGAAACTCTCTTAACTAGACAAAAAAACTCCATGGGGGATTTTTTTTTTTTTCATTATTATACTCTCTGCTTCTATGAGTTTAAATTTTTTTAATTTAATTTAATTTTATTTTATTTTTTTATTTTTTTTGAGACGGAGTCTTGCTTTGTCGCCCAGGCTGGAGTGCAGTGGCCGGATCTCAGCTCACTGCAAGCTCCGCCTCCCGGGTTTACGCCATTCTCCTGCCTCAGCCTCCCGAGTAGCTGGGACTACAGGCGCCCGCCACCTCGCCCGGCTAGTTTTTTTTTTTTTTTTTTTTTTTTTTTTTTTTGTATTTTTTAGTAGAGACGGGGTTTCACCGTGTCAGCCAGGATGGTCTCGATCTCCTGACCTCGTGATCCGCCCGTCTCAGCCTCCCAAAGTGCTGGGATTACAGGCTTGAGCCACCGCGCCCGGCGAGTTTAAATTTTTTTACACTTTACATAGAAATAAACCTAGGCTTACACAGAAAGAAACCTAGGCTTTTGGCCGGGTGTGGTGACTCATGCCTGTAATCCCAGCACTTTGAAAGGCTGAGGTGGGTGGATCACCTGAAGTCAGGAGCTGGAGATAAGCCTGACCAATGTGGAGAAACCCCGTGTCTACTAAAAATACAAAATTAGCCAGGCGTGGCGGCGCATGCCTGTAATCCCAGCTACTTGGGAGGCTGAGGCGCGGGAATCACTTAAACCCAGGAAGCTGGGGCAGGAGAATCACTTGAACCTGGGAGGCAGAGGTTGCCGTGAGCTGAGATCACACCACTGCACTCCAGCTAGTGCAATAGAATGAGACTGTCTCAAACAAAACAAAACAAAAAAAACAGATAAAAGAGGGAAAAAATGGATTACTGACAATAGCTAAGGTATGGAATCAACCTAAGTGTCCATCAATAGGTGAATGGAGAAAAAAAATGTGGCATACGTACACAATGAAATGCTATTCCGCCCTTAAAAATAAGAAAGTCTTGTTTGCAACAACATTCATGAACCTAAACGATGTTATGCTAAGTAACACAGTACAGAAAAAACAAAAAACGTATTTATTTATTTATTTTTTTGAGATGGAGTTTCACTCTTGTCATGCTAGCTTCCAATGCAGTGGTACCATCTCAGCTCACTGCATCCTACACCTCCCAAGTTCAAGCGATTCTCCTGCCTCAGCCTCCCCAGTACTTGAGATTACAGGCACGCACCACCTTGCCCAGCTATTTTTTATATTTTTAGTAGAGATTGGGTTTCACCATGTTGGCCAGGCTGGTCTCAAACTCCTACCGCAAGTGATTCACTCACCTCGGCCTCTCAAAGTGATAGGATTACAGGCGTGAACTACCACGCACGGCCAAAAGCCTAGGTTTCTTGGCTGGGCGCGGTGGCTCAAGCCTGTAATCCCAGCACTTTGGGAGGCCGAGACGGGCGGATCACGAGGTCAGGAGATCGAGACCATCCTGGCTAACACGGTGAAACCCCGTCTCTACTAAAAAAAAATACAAAAAAACTAGCCGGGCGAGGTGGCGGGCGCCTGTAATCCCCAGCTACTCGGGAGGCTGAGGCAGGAGAATGGCGTGAACCCGGGAGGCGGAGCTTGCAGTGAGCTGGGATCGCACCACTGCACTCCAGCCTGGGCGACAGAGGGAGATTCCGTCTCAAAATAAAATAAAATAAAATTAAATTAAAAAAACACATACATAAAGAATTATATGAGTTTGCCTATGTAGCTATTTATGTATACAAAAGACATTAATCAACAAATATTTTAAATTTCCCAGCCTACACTGAGGATGCAGATATAAACTTACTCTCACCTATATGGATTCATATCATCTCAGAATGGAACACAGCCATACAATGTTGTGTTTAAACATCAACAAAGCTTCACGTTTAGGTGCATGGCCTGGGAAGTAAGTTTTTGGTAAAGCCATGTAAGACTCTAGTTTCAGCTTAGCATTTCAGGGCCCTGCTTCCTTTCTCACTGTTTGCCTCAGAGGCAGAAGACACCCTCAGAGGCACAAGATTTCTTCCATTACCTTTCAGTTTTGCTGATGTTTCTCCTGGGAAATGTCTGCAGTAGGTTCTTCCTCTGTAGTTCTTCTTACCGTGCCTGCAAAACAAACTATCTCTAGTGTCTGCATGGGTTTCCACTTCCTGTCCCCACCTGAGGAATGGAAAGCAAGAGCACAGTCCTTGCTCATGTTTTGGAGTGAAAGGAGCATGAAGGTCATGTGAGCTTTGCCGAGGCTTTTCCTGCCCTCACGTCAGATCTAGCCCCTAACTCCAAGCAGCGCAACGTAGTTTCTTAATGTACAAATAAGATCTACTTTAATATGGTCTATTGCTATTGGATCTGCCATATGCAATTTCAAGATATTCCCCTATACCTGCCCACAATGATCCTCCAGGAATAAAATGAGCTCCTGAGTGAGAAACTCTGGTGTATACTGAACTTTTTGTGTATTTTTGTTGAGTTTCTCTATCCATGCTTTGAGAGGGCTGTGGACATGGAATTCCAATGATTCTGATGTTCAAGGGTGGTTTTTACCCTCCAGATGTCTCAACTTTGCCTTTGGTCTTCCTGTCAGTCCTGTTAAAGGGTTGTGAAGTCTGGAGTTGCTGGGGCTTCCTCAGTTCCAGGTTCTACTTTTCCTTCTTATGGGTTCCAAGGTCTGTGAATCAGGCCCCACCCCAGCATGTCACCGTGTCTGGTTCTGGCCATGTGTCCTACGACTGGATAGTTCTTGAACATTCTCTGTGGGTTGAGGAGGAGGGAGGTGTGTGAGTCAGCATGAATCACAGGCAGTTTTCAAAGGTTAATGTAACTTTTTTTTGGATTTGGATATTAGTTTTTGTTTTTGTTTTGTTTTGCTTTGTTTGAATCAGAGTTTCATTCTTGTTGCCCAGGCTGGAGTGCAATGGCGTGACCCTGGTTCACTGCAACCTCTGCCTCCTGGGTTCAAGAAATTCTCCTGCCTCAGCCTCCTGAGTAGCTGGGATTACAGGTGCCCACCACCATGACCAATTAATTTTTTTGTATTTTTAGTAGAGACTGGGTTTCACCATATTGGCCAGTCTGGTCTTGAACTCCTGAACTCAGGTGGTCCGCCCACCTCGGCCTCCTAAAGTGCTGGAATTACAGGTGTGAGCCACCCATCCAGCCTGGGTATTGGCTTTTTAGGACAGGACACAAACAAGTGGCCCATTAGGTGTCTGGCAGTCCACAGCAACAGTCATGTTCACAACCCATTTT